TAAAGCCGGGGTTTATTTTTTTTATTATATAACCCATCATGCAAATGAATCCATGTTACTTGCTTTTTTCTGTCATGCGCTTCAATTATCTCAACTTCATTGAGAAAAGAATTTAAGAAGTGAAAATGCACAATATTTCAAGTCTAACTACCGGATTTCTGGAGAAACATAACCATTCGTTTATGCAAGAAAATAGCAAAGAAAATCTTTTGCAGATTCAGAAACTCACGTACCTGTTTCTGTTTGTTGCTGGTGTTCAACTTGTATTTCATCAACCGTTATAGAAATAAGTTGCAGTTGCTTTATGATTAAATCCACATCTTTGTCTGACGCCATTTCTTTCCCTTTCAAAGCGGACATCTTTGCAAGATTCTTCATCTTAACTGTAAAAGCACCCACAGGCTGCTATAACAAACCAACTAATGACTGAAACCCATTCATTCTTGAACATTTCACTCCTGTTACTTTAAAGCGAGCGCTCAGTTCTGCCTTGCATTACATGACTTTACAGCAGTATATTGGCTGTACTCTACGTAGTGTAAAGTGGTAATATTTTCAGCCGTAAACTAGCGAACATATGAGCAGAACGTTTCAACAGTAAAGTGTCATGTGTTGTCCTCTGCTCAAAAGCTGAATAATACCTTGCGCCATTTCACGCCGTCCCGTGCATTATATGTTTAGTACGTAAATGAGTGAATATATTTTATTGCATGAGCATGGCCATATCTTTCAGCACAAGACAACAACAACAAAAGTAACTAAACGCAAGTATCCGTAGCTCTTTGCACCATCTCTCAGCGATCGACTAATCCGTCGTTCATAATGCGAGCCAAGGCAGGAATGGCTGAATTTCTTGTCAGCTCCGACTCACAGTAGGTGTTCACTACTTTTTCACATGCAGTCACTTGATCTTGATCAGCATCACTTTTTTTTCGCGTTTCAGCGGTCAGGATGCTGCCTATTCTGCATTACATTACCTGATCTTCTTCAATTCTTGGGTGCCATTAGTGTTGTTTAGATGAATACCTTCGTGCATCCATCATTTTATTGATCTTCCTCTCGGTCTTTATACCTGAGCCGAACCTTAGAGTACCATTTTTTCAGGCTGTTACGGTTCCATTCATAATTAGACCAATGTCTTCATTTTCATTAGTCCATATTTTAAACAGTAAATGTTAAATGTGAAGTGGATTCGTAGCAGTCGGTGCGTTCGTTCATTGTACATCCCACCTAAATATTTAAAGTTTGCAGAATCAGAATCACTTTCGAAGCAAATAAATACGGAACCTTTAATCTGTTCGACTACAAGATATCACTGCGCGAATTTCTTGATGATTCAGCATAGCTTTCACCTTCCTATGAAATCGAAGTGGTGATGTGAAGTACTTTTCTGTTTTACAAATTTCATCTTTATCATCATCTTCCATGACTGCTTCTCCTTTCGGCCCGCAGAAGCAGACGCGTCAGACAGAGCTTCCAACGTTCCCGATCCTGTGCCACATTCTGAGCGTCGGCAGAAGACAGCTGGAGTCTGGAACTTACTACTTCCATATATTTGCACTAGGTTATTCTTCGCCGTCCCCTGGGCCTTCTGGCAGTCGGTTTCTCAAGAAACAGTTACTTGGCCTTCCTTTCCGGAGGCATTCGCAACACATGTCGAATTCATCACAACTGTGACTTCTCAATCTGGAGAAGCAGAGTGAGAAAATAATGTTTCCCATTTGATTCTCCGGTTGCGTCTGCCACCACATCTTCGTATGGTACTCCATTTCTTACAGCGTGCCAAAAACAAAGTGATGATCGGTTGATAGTTCTGCGCCTCTCTTAACGTGAATATCCATTACGAAGCATCTTAAGTCAGACGATACGATTTTCAAATCACTATTCACATCGACTTCTCTACACAAGATTCCCGGTACCAGGTGTACTGATGCACTTTTCGATGCTCGAAGAAGGTGTTCGTAATGGACAATCCATTGTTTGTACAAAACCGCGACAACTTCATGCCGTTATTGTTGAGGCCGCTAGGCCCGTTTTTTCTAATCACGCCTTTCGACTTCTCAGCGTCTGCTCCGACATGCATATTAAAATCGCCCGTCAGTATGAGGGACTCTGTATTCGTCACTTCGGACAGATCACACTGCACTTCCTCAAGGAAGGTCTCATATTCTCCCTCCGAATTGGGCGCATTGACCTTTACCAAGGTCATCGATTTAGCGTGTTGTAGCTTCAGTCGGATGATTACCACCCTTACGCTGTCAGCCTTTCATGATTCTGTTTACGACGTTGGGTTCTACCAGAACACCAACACCGGCCTGAGCGCGGGTGGCGATATAGACGTCTGAGTAGAATCGCTTCCACCCGCGGAGGTTCAGGATTCCTGAACTTTGACGCTTCGTTGACGAAGGTCAAACCATGTCGAGTTGGTATTTTATGGCGCCATCGACTAACTTTTGTTCTTTCCTTCTGAGTGGGGATATTTTCTATTTTCCGATTGTAAGCTCCTACTGGATGTGTTGTTCACGTGGGCCCTTTTCTGACGTGCTAAAATGGCTTCGCGCTGTCTGCCTCCTCCGTTCGGAACGGGTAGCGACTCCGTTGCTGACTGGTATTTTCGTCGTCGTTGCGTCGGTCTTCGTCAGCCGTCGTTATAACGGGTAGCGACTCCGTTGCTGACTGGTATCTTCGTCGTCGTTGCGTCGGTCTTCGTCAGCCGTCGTTGTTGCTACGCCCCTTTAGCTGAGGGCGATGAGCAGTTTCTGATCGACGAGTTTTCGCAGTCTGCGCGAACTTTGGCGATCCCAGCGACTGCCGAGCCGGCGTGATATTCGATGACTGCAGTGTCATGAGGGCAGGTGGCTAAGTTTTACGGAGATTTCGCCACGGTCTCCAAACCTCATCCTTCCCCATTCGGGCTTGGAATCGTTAAGGGTGGAGTACTTCAAAATGGGATTAAGCACTTTCATGGTGCTACTTCTGCACTGTTTGGGACAATAAGATGGAAATGTTTCTCGCAGAGTTCGGCACTGTCTTGATTTCTCCTCCGTTTTCTTCCGAGTTTGGGCAACGACAGAGTTGCGGTTCTTCTTTACAATCCGTAATGCTGAAGCCTGTCGATCATTCGTCAGTTATGCGGTGTGATGTATATTTTTGTGTATGCTTTCCATTCGGGTCGATCTTGACAAACGGTTTTGGTTTCTGTTCCCTCTTTCCAGATGTTTTGGACAGAACGTACGTTTGCCCTTCACCCTGGCTGAAACGGGTTGTCTCTGTGAAGCTTGATACGCTCAGATGATTCCAGATGAGCTTCGGCACGGTTGCACAATTACTCTTCTCTGACAGTTCCTCATGTTGCGCAGTTTATAAGTAAATATCTGATTTACAACTAGAACCAAGTGTGATCGTTCAGGTGCGATGCAACAATTCATCTAGAATACTAATATCCAAGATCAACTCACTAATGCTGTATTCCATCCATGCACTGTAGATTCTCAAAAGTCCTCATGCCATGTACTGTTAAAATCGATCCTAGGACGTACAGTGTTGAGGTTTATCAACTGAGGTTGAATTAAAATCTGAGCATTTTATGATTTCAGGAATTTATTATAATGATGAGTTCTAAAACTTTTCCACAGATAGTCTGATTTCGCCGTTTTGTGTGAATTTTTTCGTTCGT